GCCTGTAATCCCAGCCTTCAGGAAGTTGAGGCAGGAGGATCAAGGGTTCAAGAATACCAGGCACCGGTGGCTCACACCTGCAATCCCAGCTACTCAGGAGGCAGAGATCAGGAGGATCACGGTTCAAAGCCAGCCTGGGCCAATAGTTCACAAGATTATCTCAAAAAGTCCTGTCACAGAAAAGGGCTTGTGAGTGAAGGTGTGTAGGCCCTGAGTTCAAATCCCAGTGCCACAAAAAAAGAGTTCCAGGCCAACTTGTGCCACACAGCCAGACCCTGTCTCAGAGAGAGAGAGAGAGAGAGAGAGAGAACGAGAAAACGTGTCTCGTGGTGGCGTTTACTTTCTGGTGGGGACGTAGAAAACAAACAGTTTGTCAAGTGTGCTAGATGTGACTTCTGGGAAGAGGACAGGAGGGAGTGTGGCAGGGTTTGGGGGATTTCTGTGTGTGTTTTGTGTTGTGGGGGGCGCGGATGGACCCCAGGGAGTCTTACATACTAGGTAGCAGCCTAGGGGAGGCCTTTGAGTAAAGGCCTGAAGGGGGCGATGCTGAGCCAAGAAGGCAGGGAGGAGCCACACAGGCAGGAAGAAGAGCAAGTGCAAAGGTCCTAGGGTCACTTGCTGGGGTGTTGGAGGGTGGTCAGGGGAAGTGCTAGAAGAGCTGGTGTGCAGCCAGGTAAGGAGCTGGGAGGCAACGGCAGCTCCAAGCAGGGGATAAGTCGCGTTGTGTTTTAGGACAATCCTGTGGCTTATGGACAGACAAGGGTGGAAGCAGGGAAAGGCCTGTGGTGGTAGGGGAGGGCCATGAGTCACCACCCTAGGTATATTTGGAAGCTAAAGCCAGAGAATTTGCTGATGTGGGCTGTGGGGAGAAAAGCCAGCTTGGGCATTAGTGCACTGAGCGGGCAAGATGAGGCGTGGTTAGCTGAAGACCTCAAGAGAGCTGGGTGGAGACGGGGTGGACCCTGCATGTCACAGGCACAAGTGAGGACTGTACTTTTCAACAAAAGCAGTTTCAAAATGCCTGATACACCGGGACTCTGTCCTTAGGGACAAAGAAGAAAACACCCCTTCACGCCTGTAATCCCAGAAGTCAGGAGGCAGAGATCAGGAGGATCTTGGTTCAAAGCCAGCCCTAGGCGAATAGTTCACAAGATCCTATCTTGGAAAAATCACAAAGGAAAAAGGACTGGAGGTGTGGCTCAAGTAGTAAGAGTGCCTGCTTAGCAAGCACAAAGCCCTGAGTTCAAACCCCAGTGCCTCCAAAATATAAAGAAAAGAAAAAAAACAGGAAGTGTGGCACCTGTGGACACTTGTACCATGTAAAGAGGATGGCTTCACACTGTTGACAACAGGGAGTCCTGAATAGTGAAATGACACGGACTAATTAGAAAGGTTGAGAGCTGGGGCTGTGGCACAAGTGGGGGCCTTGGGTTCGAATTCCAGTACCAATGATGATAGATAGATTATAAGAAGTCTGGGCTGTCTCAGCCCCGCCCCCTTGCTGTGTAACTGGGACAGGCTGCTTTCTCTCTGCCTCAGTTCCCTCATCTGCACAATGGCCAACTTCATAAGGTTTCTGGAAGGCTTTAGGTGAAGAATTCCTGCAATGATCTCAGAACAGGGCCCAGTGTATCAGTCCCTTAGGGATCCTGGCAGCTGAGAAGACAACCCCCACCCCTGTGCCACCCCCGTACCCCCTGTCCAAGCCCAGGTCTGGGGTGGGAGGGATCCTTGTCCTGGGCGAGGGCCTCCACACCACTGCAACACAGCCTTCCCATCTCTGAGCCTCATTTTCCTTTGTGCAATGCTGTGGGTAGAACCCAGAGCACATTCTGTGCCACTGAGCTGCAACCCCCAATCCCCAACCTGTTTACTCATCCATAGAACAGAGATGAGGGCTCGCAGAGTGGCTCAAGTGGTAGAGCACCTGCCTAGGAAGCACAAGGCCCTGAGTTCAAACCCCAGTATCACCAAAAAGAAAGGGGGGAGATGATAGAGAATCCCAGCCTCTGAGCAGACCTTAGAAGAGGTTAAAAGAACATGCATGGGTGCCAGTGGTTCACACCTGTAATCCCAGCTATTCAGGAGGCAGAGATCAGGAAGATGGAGGTTCAAAGCCAGCCCAGGCAAATAATTCAGGAGACCCTATCTCAAAAAAAAAAACATCACAAAAAAGGGCTGGCAAAGTGGCCCAGTGGTAGTGTCTGCCTAGTGAATGTGAGGCCAGAGTTCAAACTCCCCGTGCTGCCAAAATAAAAACCTTAAAAATTCAAAAAGATGAACTTGAAGCTCTTCTCCAAGAAAAGGAGACAGTATGCTAGAGACAGGGAGGGGTGCGACCTCCTGAGAGGGACGCCTGCTGGCCTGTACCACCCAGTGGGGGAAGGAGAGGCCTACCAAGCTTCTTGATCTTTTGCCCTTGACTTAGATTCTAGCACGCCAGGCATCGCCCTGAGCCACCTGTTTTAAAACTGTACAGAGCTGGCGGTGATTTAATAAACCTGCTGTCTTCCCCCCTCCCAGGCAGATTCAGTTCATCCTCATAACAGGCAGCAGATTAGAACAAAGCAGACGGTGCCGCCTGGGTAGACAGTCACGCCTTAGAGCAGGAAGAGGGGGAGAAAGGCCTAGGGAGGGGCCTGTCCAGGAGGGGTGCTTCTGCCCCGGGCCTCTCACAGGTGACTGCGAGAGGTCAGGTTCAACAGCACTTTTTTGGGGGGTGGTAGCAATACTGGGCTTTTGAACTCAGGGCATCACTCTTGCTGGGCAGGCACTGTACCACTTTGAACCACTCTGCCAGCCCAGGACCAGTGCTGTGAGGTCAAACAGAAGCACTGTTCGTGACAGCTGTGTGACCTTGGGCAAATTATTTAGCCTGTCTGTGGTGAGGGAGAACATGACCAGGTCTGGGAAGGCTGCCAGGCAGAGTGTCTGGCACACCCTGGTTTGCAGCCCAGGCTGTCTCTCCCTGTCCTGTGTGAATACTGTGCCACCATAGCACAGTCAGTGTCCCCTGAGTTCCTGCACAGTTGTCTGGCTGGGACCTGGAGAAAGGTCAGGTCAATTCTTGCCTTGTCTGGGGTCCAGATGGGCTGCATTGGGGCACAAGGGAAGGAGGAGAGACTGGGGGTGCTGAGCTCGGGGGGTTGGTATGACTGAGTGGGGACACAGCTGAGGTTGTTGTCTAGGGTGCTTGACATTTTCCAGTGGGGACTGGATGTGCCCGGTAGTACCCTGTGAAGAGGCGAAGTCTGGCAGAGCAGGTACCCAGCCTCGGGCTGGAGTGGCAGACCTTCACACTGAACCCCAACTTTTCCCAGAATGTTCACAGGAAGGCTGGGCCTCCTAGACAGAGCCGGAGGGCGCAGAACCCCGACCTGAGATGCAGCCAAACTGGACTGAGCTCTGCCTCAAGCTTGAAAGATTAGCAGGAACTGCTTTGTTCCAAAGACCGCTTCTGTCTGCTCTATCCCCATGGCCTGCTTCTCTGCCACCTATATGCTCCACCCTGCCCCTGACCCAGAGGCCCAGCCCTGTGGCCAAGTGCACCCCAAGGCTTGCTTTTGTTTTTGGAGACAGTGTCACTCTGTAGCCCAGGCCGACCTTGAACTCAGAATCTTCCTGGGATTACAGGTGTGTGTTATCACATCCACCTTGTGGTTTACCTCTTGGTGCCCCAACTGCAGCAACAGCAAATTTCTCCGCTGCCCCCCTCAGTGCCTCTCTGGGGTGACCTGACCCCCAGTAGCAACTCTAGGCCGAGGAGGGGGTGAGGGGAGCACCCAGCAAGGAGCATATGTCCTCTGGACACACACGCAGTTCCCCATTCACAGGCTGTGGTCTGAGAGCAGTCAGGGTGGGTCCCTCGGTCCTGGCATTCTGTTTACAAATCTTGCCAGCACTCATGCTGGGCCATCACAGTCACCTCCCCTGTACCACGTCAGGATACAGTCTTTCACCCTATGGGCAGTGGCCTGTCCTTCAACCTGGATCTTTTCTGCACCCCCCCACACACATACCATTGCTGATCCAGAGCCCCAGTTAAACATCCTGTTTGTCAGGTATGGGGGTTCATGCCTGTAATCCCAGCCTTTGGAGGCGAAGGCGGAAGGATCACCAGTTCTTGGCCAGCTAGGACTACATAGAGCCAGATCCTGTCTCAAAAAGAAAAAAAATAAAAACTAGGCTGGAGGTGTGGCTTAAGTGGTAGAGAGCCAGCCTAGCAAGTACAAAGCCCTGAGTTCAAATCCCAGTACTGTCAAAAAAAGAAAAAAAAAAAGAAAAGAAATTGCTTAACTGTAGTCACTTTTCTGCCAGACACTGCTGCCTCACACCTGTAATCCCAGTTACTCAGGAGCAGAGATCAGGAGAATCACAGTTCGAAGCCAGCCTGAGCAAACAGTTCATGAGACCCCATCTTGTAAAAGTTATCACAAAAAAGGGCTGGTGGAGTGGCTCAAGATGTATGCCCTGAGTTCAAACCCCAGTACTGCAAAAAAAAATAAACAATTCAACCCTTAGTACTGCCCCACAATAAAGAATTGTGAATAAACACATACAAATATGCATAAATTAGAAAAATACTCTGCTCTCCTGGGGGCTGCCTGGCAATCAGGGGTGGGCACCCTGACTCATGTCCTGTGTTGCCTCCTCAGTATCTCCAGTTGCCCTTTGTGGGGGCTGAGACTAGGTGACACCCCCTAGGAGGCAAGCACCCGAGGGGAGGAGTCCTGTTTCCTTCCCTTGGTGGTTCACGCCTGACCTGAGGCCTGTGCTGGGCTGCTGTTCAGGAAATGTGGGGTGGATGGGAGGGTGGGTGGGAGGATTGGGTGGGTGGTAGAGGATGGATGATGTATAGGTGAATGAGTTGATGGATAGATGGGTGGATGGATGGATGGACCACTAAGGACAGAAACCAGCTGCGGGAGAGTGATGGAGCCTGGAGAGACCACCCCAGAGAAGCCAGAGCTGCCTGTAAGCCCTCTGTCCCCATCCTGCAGATGAAGATGACGCCAACAGACTTGGAGAGAAGGTGATCCTCCGTGAGCAGGTGAAGGAGCTCTTCAATGAGAAATACGGTCAGTGCCCTTCCGCCCCCACAGCCAGCCCAGCCTTCCCACGCCCAGGGCCCTGGCCACCCCACCACAAGCCAGTCCAGGGACTCTGTCCCTCACTGCAGCCCAGCCTTCCTGTGCCATGACCACTGGTATGCATGGATCAACTTTCTCCCCTCCAGTGCCACATGGCCCACTGGGGCTGCCTGAGTCCAGCCCTTTCCCTAGAGGGCTTCACCTTTGAACAGGGGATATCTTCCACGTGTTCTGACCTCCTGTGCCCTGCAGGTGAGGCCCTGGGCCTGAACCGGCCTGTGCTGGTCCCGTATAAACTGATTCGAGACAGCCCGGATGCTGTTGAGGTCACGGGCCTGCCGGATGACATCCCGTTCCGGAACCCCAACACCTACGACATCCACCGGCTGGAGAAGATCCTGAAGGCCCGGGAACACGTTCGCATGGTCATCATTAATCAGCTCCAGTGAGTCCCCCTCGGGGTGGGCAGTGGGGCGGGGCCAGGGCACAGAGGGCACTGGGTCCACAGGGGGACTGGTCATCAAGCTACGTGGCCAGTGACCAGAGAGGAGAGCGAGCCCTAATCCCCAGATCCACAGTGCACAGCCTTTGCATGTCATGTCAGGGAGGGCTGGTGGAGTGGCTCAAGTGGTAGAGCGCTTGCTTTGCAAATGTGAGGCCCTGAGTTCAGATCCCACTACTGCCAAAATAAATGTGGAGAGGTCAAAACCCTGCATGTAGTGAGACACTGTCTCAAGAACAAATAAGTATGTATATTGTTTTCTGTTGGGGTTTCTTTTTTTTTTTTTTTGGTGGGACTGGGGTTTGAACTCAGGGCTTCGTACTCGCAAGGCAGGTGATCTGCCACTTCCTCCAGTCCATTTTGCTCTGGTTGTTTTGGAACTATTTGCCCAGGCTGGCTTTGAACCTCGATCCTGCCCATCTCAGCTCCCAAGTAGCTAGGATTACAGGCGTGAGCCACTGGCACTGTGTGGTACTGGCGTTTGAACCCAGGGCCTTACACTTGCTAGGCAGGTGCTCTACCACCTGAGCCAGTCCTCCAGTTCTCTGTTTGTTCCTTTTAATGACTGGCCAGTCACCTCCCACAGATGGTCCAAAATGTCCTCTCTGACGGACACCTAGGTTAGCTCTCTTTTGGGAGTCATACCACAAAGTGAAATAATCAATAAAATCAAAAGGCCCCTTTAAAATGCCCACGGACATTTTAAATGTCTAAGCTCGCATCTCCTTCCTTGCTCAGACGAGACCTCACTTTTACAGATGAAGAAATTAGGTCTGGCCTGACGCCAGCAGGGCCCAGCAGCTGCTCTGGGGAGATGGTTACTGTGTTTAATTCTGGTCTGTGTTTGTCAGCTATCCATTACTGTGACAAAATACTTGAGTCATCAACTTAAAGGAGGAAAGGTTTATTTTGGCTCATGCTTTCAGGGGTTTCAGGCCCAGCTTGGTTGGGTTTTTGGCAATACAGAATATCATGGTGGACATGCATGACACAAAAAGCCCATGTGAGGGAGAGGGGAGAAAAAAGAGAGGGAGAGGGAGGGAAGACGGGAACAGGGAGAGAGAGGAAGAGACTGAGGCTTCACTAACCTATCAAAGGCTACACCCCCAAAGACCTAATTTCTTCCCACTGCACCCCACCTCCTAAAGGTTCTGTCACCTCCCAGCAGCACCACAGGCTGGGGACCAACCCTTTAACACAGGGCCCTGAGGGGACACTTCAGATCCAAACTGCAGTAGGGTTTCACCGTGCTCCAGTCACTGCCACAGCATCTCATCTCCTGAAAGATGGCGCTCATATTGAGGTAGCAGGTAAGAAGGAGGGGACAAACCTCGTCTCCTAACTCTGCCCCATTTCTGTCTTTTTCAGACCTTTTACAGAAATCTGCAATGATACTAAGGTGGCAGGTGAGTTGGAGACTGAAAGGGCCACCTTACACCTCATGGGGACTGGAGTCTGTTCCCTTCAAAAAGACACAGACAAGTGTGGTGAGACATGCCTGTAATACCAGCACTTGGGAGGCTGAGGCAGGAGGATCGTGAGTTCCAGGTCAGCCTGGACTACATAAGGAGACCTAGGCACCAATGTGTCACACCAGCTACCTGAGAGACAGAGATCAGGAGGATCATGGTTGCAGGCTAGCCCAGGCAATTAGTTCATGAGACCCCCATCTCCAAAATAACCAGAGCAAAATGGACTGGAGGTGTGGCTCAAGTGGTAGAGCTCCTGCCTAGCAAGTGTGAGGCTCTAAGTTCAAACCCCAGTGCAGCCAAAAAAAAAAAACACCTTACTCACCTTAGCCACTAGGGGACTGTCCTCCAGGCCCATGTCTGCACTTCTCCCAGGGTGCCCAATTCTGGGGAGAATTCTCTGGGGGAGGCCAGCACCGTGGGGTGCATGGTCTGGGGACAGGGGTATGGCACCAGGAAATGCAGAGCTGGGACCCTTGGCCTCAGGTGGGCCTTGGCCGTTGGTGGTTTGAGAGCCTTCTCTAATGAGGTTACCAGGCTGAAACAGAGCAGTCCCCGCTCCCAGCCTCAGCCTGTGTTTCTCCCACCAGCCAAAGACAGCCACCTTCCCAGGCGCAAGAGAAAGAGGGCATCAGAAGGCAATTCAGTCTCCTCTTCCTCCTCCTCCTCCTCCTCTTCCTCATCCTCGTCCTCCAACCCGGACTCTGTGGCCTCCAACAACCAGATCTCACTCGTGGTAAAGTCTCCCAGGACCTGGCCTGGACCACCCTTTTCTTTGGCCCTTGCCCCTTCCGTTGGGCAGGGCCACTTTCCCCCGGGATGTGGGTGTGGGGGACAGGGAGGTACTGGGCTCTCGGGGGGTCTCTCCAGCCTTGGGGTGCAGCCATGTCTGCCTGTCCTGACCTGAGATAGTCTGTCCATCCTCTTGGGATAGTCTGTGCTCTGAGCTTTAGCACTACTACTCCAGGGTGGGTGTTGCCAGCAATGTGTGCATAGGACAGCAGGAGCCAGAGGGAGGTTGGTCAATGATGAACGCAGAAGCCACCTCCAGGGCCCCATCTGTCCCTCCACGTTGCCTTGTTCTCGCCTGTCCCTCACTAGGGATACATCCTGGAGAGTTCTCTGCAGTTTGAAGATACCAGTGGGGAAATATTGAGAAAGGAGACTATTTGAATATATTTGAAAATGAACCAGGTGCAGTGACTCACGCCTGTAATCCCAGCTGCTTGGGAGGCTGGAGATAAGGAGGATCTAGTTTTGAGGCCAGCCCCAGGCAAACAGTTCATGAGACCCCCCCATCTCCAAAATAACCAGAGCAAAACAGACTGGAGGTGTGGTTCAAGTGGTAGAGCGTCTGCTTTGCAATCGCAAAAACCCCAGTCCCACCAAAAATAAAACAAAATGATTATAGGATTTCTTGATGCTTTGGCTGTGTGTCACTTCAGCTGTTGCCTGGACACCCCCAAAGCCCAGACTTTGCCTTATCTCCCTGCCTGGCTGTGTGTCTGCCCACAGGGGACTCCTCCCTCCTTGGGTCCCCAGAGAACGGGGGATCCAACACGTGGTTTCTGAGCCAGTCCTGAGCCAGTCCAGCTCTGATCCAATGACAAGCCCCTGGGAGACAGCCGGGAAACAGTCATGGGGTCTGTGCTGTGTGTTCTTGCAGCAATTGCACTCCTTCTCTGGGCCTTAGTTTCATCATACAGTGAGGAAGCCCGTGAGGACGCCAAGCTGAGCATGCTGGCGTTTCCCCCGTCACCCAGAGTCCTAACCCGGTCCCTCTGTCCCTCTCTGTAGCAATGGCCAATGTACATGGTGGACTACAGTGGACTGAACGTGCAGCTGCCGGGACCCCTGAGTTACTAGACCTCAGCACCGAATGGCGACCTCACTCGGAAAGCCTAAGGAACTGTAATTATGTACAGAGTGTAAATTCGGATACGTATCAATGCCTTTTAGTTTTTCCAAGGATTTTTACACTATATTCCTGCCGCCAGGGCCTTTTTAAATAAGTAAAAAAAAAAAAAAAAAAAAAAGTTGCTGTCTCTGTTCCATTTTCTTTGATACTGGGGTTTGAACTCAGGGCCTACATCTTGAGCCACTCCACCAACCTTTTTTGTGAAGGGTTTTTTTGAGATAGGGTCTCATGAACTATTTGCCCAGATTGGCTTCAAACCATGATCCTCCTGATCTCTGCCTCCTGAGCTGGGATTACAGGCGTGAGCCACTACACCTGGTTGCCATCTCTTCCTCCTCCTCCTGGGATTATAGACATGAGCCACCAGTGCCCGGCTTCTGTTCTTTTTTATAGAATTGTAGCTGCAGCTGTCACGATGGACTGTCAGGCAGGAAACCAGCCCCAGAGGCCTGCTAAGTTCCTCCTTCCTGGCAGAAGCAGACGAAGTGTCCCTGACCACCAGGCCGTGGTGACTAGGGACAAATCCCATGCTTTTCTTTGCTGCCAGAGGCGGGTGGCCTCAGCATGAGAAGCCACAGAGGCAGAAGTGTCCTAGACAGGCCTCCCACTGCCAGACAGTAGCCTGACCACGGCCCTGTGCCACCTCCCAACTGACAGCTGGGGACAGTCCTGTATCCTCGCTGCAGGGAGTGTGTGGTGTGGGAGGAAGGACTTTCTTTTGAGTGTGTGTGTTTGGGCAGGAAGCAGTGCTGGGGTTTGAACTCAGGGCTTCATGCTTGCTAGGCAGGTGCTCTACCACTTGAGCCACTCGCTAGCCCTGTTTTTTTGTGATGGGTTTTTTGTTCGTTTGTTTTTCGGTGGTACTCGGGGTTGAATTCTGGGCTTTGCACTTCCTACACAGGCAGTTTACCAACTGAACCATTCCACCCGCACGTATTTATCTATTTCGGCAGGGTCTTGCTAACTTTTACCCAGGCTGGACTGAACTCACAGTTCTGCCTCCACCTCCCAAGCTGGGATTACAAGCTTGTGCCACCACACCTGGCTGCAGATAAGTGTCCTCCTTCAGAGGCTCGGGTGGAGTGAGAAGTGTTGAGTGTAGCTGGGCATGGTGGCTCAGGCCTGTAATCCTAGGTCCTCGAGGGGCTGAGGTAGAGGGTCCCAAGTTGATGGGTAGTCTGCGCCACACAGTGTGACCCTGTCTTTTTTAGTCCTGGGGTTTGAACTCATTGCTTCCGGTTGGCAGGCAGGCACTGTTACCACTTGAGCCACACCGCCAGCCTGAGACACTGATCAAAAACACAAAACCAGCTGGAGCCTGGCAGCAGTGGCTCACACCTAGAATCCCAGCTACTCAGGAGACAGATCAGGAGGGTCCTGGTTCAGAGCCAGCCTGGGCAAATAGTTCAAGGGCTGGTGGAGTGGCTCAAAGTGTAGACCCTGAGTTCAAACCCCAGTACCTCAAAAAACAACAACAAAATATTAGTGAAGCGGCTCAAGCCACAGAAAACCCCACAGGGTTGCACTGTGTTGTCTGGACTAGCCTTGAACTTGCGATCCTTCTCCCTTAACCTCCTGAGTAGCTTAGAGGCACTTCACTAGCTGCCTAGCAAGCACAAGGTCCTGAGTTCAAACAGGACTGGGGCTGGGTGGGCAGTTAAGTGCTTTAACAGTACCATGCACAAGGCCCTGGGCTCCATCCTAGCATCACAAAAGAAAGTTAAGATAATTACGGGTCAGGGAGGGAGCACTTTACCCTAGAGAGGGCAGTGTGACCAGACATAAAACATCCTGGGGAGACTTCAGGGTGGGCCTTGAGAGATGGGGTGATTTCTGATGGAGTCGTTGGTACTGAGCAGCAGATCATTTGATCACAACTGTGTCTCAGGAAAACGACTCTGGTCCGGTTTGGTGGTCACGCCTGTAATCCCAGCTACTAGGGAGACAGAGGTAGGAAGATCAAGATCTGAAGTCACCAAGCAAAAGCATGAGACCCCGTCCGGAAAAAAACAAAAACTAAAAGCAAAAGGGCGGGGGGCTTGGCTCAGTTGCAAGGCCCTGAGTTCAAACCCCAGTATCTTCAAAAAACAATTCTGGTGGTGGGACAAGATTGGGACTGACAAAGTCAAAAGAGCCTGGCAGTCACCGGGGTCTTGGCACACCATAGCGTTTATTTACCTCTCACACTGAGGGAAATAACAGCCCTGCCTGCCCAGTGGAGAGGACACCTGGGCAGCTTGTCCTGAGCGGGAAGGGGAAGGTTCCTGGGGGCCCAGAGCAGAGCCAGCTCACCTGGAGCAGAAGTCAAGAACCATCAAGGCTGAAACTTGAAGCAGAGGAGAGGGTGGGCCCAGGTGGGATGGCGCTGTAGGAGAAAATCGGCATGTGGGGGGCAGGGTGGCCGGACTGAGCCCTTGTGTGTTCCAGATGAAGAAAGGGTCACAAGGCTGGCGCCTGTAGCTCACGCCTGTAATCTGAGAAAGCAGAGATCAGGAGGTTTGCAGTTCAAGGTGAGCCAGGGTAAATGCCTCTTGAGACCCCATCTCAAAAACACCCAACACAGCCAGGCACTGGTTGCTCACATCGATAATCCTACCGACTCAGGAGGCAGACATCAGGAGGACCGCGGTTTGAAGCCAACCCTGGGCAAATAGTTCTGAGATCCTATCTGGAAAAAATCCATCACCAAAAAGGTATGGCGGAGTGGCTCAAATGATAGAGCACCTGCCTAGCAAGCGTGAGGCCCTGAGTTCAAACCCCCGTGCCACCAAAAACAACAGAACAGAATGAGGCCTCTGGCGTGGAGGAAACGGGATCTAAGTTAGCTGAGACCATGGTGGAACACCTGGGGAGTTTCTGCCACCTGCCTCAAGCTGGAGACAGGAACGACCTTGTCCCCAGTCTTCTGGACCCTGCTTCCTCCCGGACAGTTGCTGAAAGCCACAGACTTGGCAGCGGCCAGGCGCAGTTCCTCCCTTTGCTGGCACCCCCGCCCCCAAGTCAGCTGCCAGGAGAGCCCTCCCTCCATGCCCCTGGCCCTCTCTCCCTCCTCGGCTGATTCCCTGCTGGGCCACCTTCCGAGTGAAACCCTCTGAAATCCGGGTGTGCAGGACAGCTAGCTGCCACCTTGCTGTCACCCCATCTGTCCCTCTGACATCTGATCCTGTGACTGCATTATAAAACCTCCGGGTGGGGGGTTCTCGGTGCCACGCCTCACATCTGTCATCCTTGCAACCTGGGAGGCTGAGATTGGGAGGATCCAGGTTCAAGACCAACCTTCATGAGCTCCCATCTCCAAAATAACCGGAGCAAAATGGACTGGAGGTGTGGCTCAAGCAGTAGAGCGCTTGCTTTGCAAGCATGAAGCCCTGAGTTCAAATCCCAGTCTCACACACACACACAAAATTAGCCAAAGCCTTTGAACTGAGAGGTGGCCCAGCTCCTCCCACCACCAGTCACGGGAGCTCTGAGGATATGGCCAGACACAGGGTGACACCAGGGACCTGCTCCTTGCTTTGTGGGCCACCCGGATGCAATGCTTGCAGAAACCTCCAGAAGCTTTTCCGTGCACCCTCTGCAGAAATCACAGCGTGCCGCGCGTTGTAAAGTGCTTTGAGCAAAGCACTCGTTCTTTAATTAAACTTCATTGGAGCGCCATCTGTCTCTGGTCGCCTCGGCTGTGTTTTGCAACCCTCAGTGAGAAATGTTACTGGATGTGTAAACACAGGCCCCCCCGCACACAGCCGGAGAAAAGCCTAGAACATTTCCAAAATACTAAATGAGCCATGCGTGCCGCTGAGATTGCAACTGGGCCGTAATTGGCCCGGGATGGATTCCGCTGGTGTGCCATCATCTCATATTCGAATCCTTTGTAGGAGAACGTGCCGTCAGTGCGAAGATCAGGACGGGACAGGCTGGAATTAGGGCTCACTGAAAACAGTAATAAACAGGAGCAAGCGGGAGGGGAGGTGACAGGGCCGCGCCTGCACCTGTGCCACCGCACCTGCTCCCTGGGTGCTCCGTCCCTGCAGGCGCCTCCCCAGTGCCGAGGGAGGAAGGGGGGGAGGCCGTGAGCTGTGCAGCTTTTGACATTGGGGACTGAACTCTGGGCTCTGCCTAGCAACACCCCACACGCCAGTCCTTTTGCTCTTGGTTTGGTTTTCTCGTAGGGTCTTGCACTTTCGCCCAGACTGGCCTCCAGCTCAGATTCTCCCATCTCCGCCTCCTGAGTAGCTGGGATTACAGGTGGGAGCACCATGCCAGCTTGAGATCTATTTTAAGGAATCAAAGCTTTATCGAGAGTGATCTACTGAGTCCCTGGGAGCAGGTCTTCTGCCTCTCAACTGGCTCAGGTAAAGGAGAAAAAGATGGAGAGGTGATGTTCGGGCAAGGCAGGGAGAGGAGGACAAGAATCAGGAGATCTGATCTGCGTTCATGACATTTGGTGGGCTGCACTGCATTGCACTGGAAAAGGTCCATAAACCAGGCGTGGTGGTGCACACCTGTAATCCAGCACTCTGGAGGCTAAAGCAGGAAGATAGAGAGTGGCAGGCCAACCTGGGCTACATAGCGAGACCCTGTCTCAAAAAAAAAAAAAAAAAAAAAAAAAAAAACAGCACAGGGAGCCAACACTGGGCTGTGGGTGAGGCTCAAGCCATAGAGCACCTGCCTAGCAAGTGCGAAGCCCTGAGTTCAAACCTCAGTCCCACAAAAAGGACAAAACACCCCTGAGTCTCTGTGTGGCTTGGCCCCTGTCCCATGATCCTCTGGTCTCCACAGTCACAGGACACCGGACCCCTTCTCTCTTTTTCCCCCTTCTTTACAATTTCTCCTGACAGCTCCTTCCTGCCTTACCTTTCAGCGACATGTCCCCTTCCTCCAGACACCTCGTCCAAAGAAGCGCTGGCACGTCCTAATTCACTGTTTTCATTGCTTCTCAGTGTCACCACTGAGCCCCCCTCAGCCCCCACCTCATGTTCCTCATCATGTAAAGAATGCTTTATTCATTTCTGTAATCAGACTCCTGTAGATGAAATTAAATATCACGCATTTAATATGGTGAGTAACCCCTGTACA